ATATATAAATACACATACATGCAGAATTAGGGTTCTAGGTTTAGTACAGCCCTAAGCATAACGCTTGATGCCTTGCAAGCACTGTAATAATGTGAAACTGTATATTATAGATTATTACAAAGAACAGAAACCAGTTCAGCTCCATCCTACCAGTGAGGAAAACCGGCTTCCTGCCGATCTTATCAGAGAGTGGTCCAAACAGGACATTTCCGATCAGCACACCTGCAAAGAACAGGGACCCAGCCAAGTTCACTTTGTAGGCTTGATGCTTAATCAGGTACCACTACAAGAAAAGACCAGAAGAAGGAATATCAAACCGTTCAAATATGGACGCATATACCTGCTGTCCTGACCAAATATTAAGATTAAAAGACTTTTCTTCCTAATTTGATGTCAAGTATAGGTTAGATTTGTATTTGAAAAGAAGAGCAAAGTTTAAGACAAATTTGTTTAACGTGCTGAATTGATGACAGGCCCTTACCTCGGTCACGATTGAGCTGACATCCTCTGTGAATTTCACACTTTGTGTTATATCATCATCCGGACTTCCAGTAACAGGTTCTATGTGATATTCAGGCACAGCACCCACTAAAATTATGAGCATGGACTGACATGCCATGTAAATCTGTAAAAACAAGACAAATATTTCAGGTTACTTTCAATGATCTAGGCCCAGTTTACTACCAGTAAACGAACAATATCCAAACTGATCTCAAATCAGTGCAAAATAAAACTGTTATATGGTAGAGATGACCCCTAGAATGTTCGTTTCATGTCATTTTCTGTTTATTTTCAATTACAACTATGACATTACATTATAGCTATAACTCATTTAGGTTATTTCAAATATATTAAACTTGAGAAAAACAGAAATATAAATGTGCATCTTTGAAAGAAACCTTATTACCTACTACTACTAACCTACTACTTTTATAATGTTAACTGTATCCCTTCTTACCACAAAATATAATCATTTCACATTCACCTGCTATGAGATAAACAACATTACAAAGGGCTTTGGTGACTTTTATAGTTGTTTATATATATATATATATATATATATATATATATATATA